AAGAAAAATATAACAAATAGAGGCCACTGTAACCAGTCACCATTTTAGTTTGAGGTAGCTTGTGCTTAACTCCAAGCAAAGAAACATCTTGTTACTCGCTCTTTCTCGCTTGCACAGAGTAATGCGCAATATTAGTGGGGTGAGAACTTAAAAGTTAAGTATACTCGCGAGAGACTCTTGTCAAGAAATCGATTTTTAATGTGTGCATTTTACTTCTTGAACATTTTCGTAATCAAGTAAACGGCTCATTAAATTAAAAACTGAGGCAAAGAAAGACTATTGTAATATCTCGAATATAAGGCATTATTTTTTTTTTCTGTAATTTAGATTGAGAAAATCCTAGTCGCCTTATGAAATCGAGACCTACCCTCTGAGGCGCCTACTAAGCACGTGATCAGTGGGCTACTTTGAAAGGTCGTTTATCTTTGTTTCCCGCCCTAGGACCTGTAATAGTTACTGTTGACCTCAATTGAAACGAAGCATGTGACAAGCTCAGTTCATTTATTGTTCATGTGTTTTTAACAACGTGTTTGTTAAAACGGATAAGCATGCAGGAAGGGGTAGTCAAGAGGAAAAGTGCAGACAAAATTCGAAGAAGTATAAGATTAAGAAGATATTGTAAAAGGGGGTATATCCGTGTTAGGTACTTTCTTGGCCCTTTGATAGCTGATGTTGACAATCAACAATGATTTAGTGGTAATCACTGGAGGTATGACTTTGCAGTTGTAGCAGACCTTAGACATGATGGTAAACAAACCATTAAAAGACAATCTACGAAAACAGTTCATGAACTGTTGTGTTACCGAAAAGAAACATAATTATATTTTTAGTATTTAGAAGTATAGTCGGAAATAAAAGATATTTCTAATATTTTGCTTCTGCTATTGAGAGTTCATCTTATATTTGAGAGCGTTATATATTCAGCTATTACGGTATATAAGTAGTAGATTGGTCTGTTTCAGGACTAATCACTGACTCAAAGACGTATTTTTTTGTTGTTTGTTTGCGGATTGGAAAGTTTGCAAGAAAATTGGACGTGTTTGGTTTTTTTTCTTTCTTCTAAATACAACATTAAGTTTTAGTTGTTTTAGTGCAAAGCTACACAATGGGCTACCTGCACTTTGCCCAACGAGAGGAATCGAATCTCGGATTTTATTGTTGTAAGTCCGTAAACATACCGCTAATTCACCGGGGGATACACAGTAACGAGCCTTAAACAGTGAATAATGAGACAAAATGCGCAGTGTAGATATCTAGAACAGTAAAAAATTAAATAAAGTACCGAGCAGAAATCTAGAACAGTAAACAGTGATACGAACTACGTAGTAGAAATCTAGAACAGTAAACAGTGATACGAAATATGTAGTGTATAAATCTAGAACAGTAAACTGTGGGAAGAAATACGTAGTAGAAATCTAGAACAATAAACAGTGATACGAAATATGTAGTGTATAAACCTAGAATATTAAACAGCGATACGAAATATGTAGTAGAAATATAGAACAGTAAACAGTGAGACGAAATATATAGTGTATAAATCTAGAACAGTAACTGTGGGAAGAAATACGTAGTGAAGGAATTTAGAACAGTAAATAATGAAACGAAATATGTAGCGAGGGAATCTGGAACAGTAAACAATGGGACGAAATACGAAGTGAGGGAATCTAGAACAGTAAACAATGAGACGAAATACGTAGCATAGGAATACAGAACAGTAAACAGTGATACGAAATACAAATACGTGGTGAAGGAATCTAGAACATTTAACAGTGAGACGAATAATGTATTTTATAAATCTAGAACAGTAAACTCTGGGAAGAAATACGTAGTGTAGGAATCAAGAACAGTAAACAATGAGACGAAATACGTAGCATAGGAATACAGAACAGTAAACAGTGATACGAAATACGTGGTGAAGGAATCTAGAACATTTAACAGTGAGACGAATAATGTATTTTATAAATCTAGAACAGTAAACTCTGGGAAGAAATACGTAGTGTAGGAATCTAGAACAGTAAGCAGAGACGAAAAATTTAACAAGTGTATTTAGCGTTAGTATTCATTTAGTGAAGTGTTTGAGCAGTGTTTAAAACATAAAGCTTTAAGTGAAGTAATCTCGAAACGTAACCGCAACGTTTCATTTGCAACATCATCCATGATCGACAAAAATGGACCACATACATTATAAATTAGCATTAGTTTTGATGATTAAGAAATCTGTAATGATTGACAGTGGAGTGGTAGAAAAGTTTGAGATTAGCAATTTATGAAAGTACTTCGCACCTGAAGTAGATGATATTAAAATACGAGGCATTGCAGTAACGTGCAGAGAATATTAAAAGGGCAGGGGCTCACTGACAAAAAAGGGTACTTTTCAAGTATCAGAAGGCAAGCCTTTTTTTTGGGGGGGAGAGGGAGACTATGGGATCTATGGGTTGCCTCTGATGAAAAAAAGGTAACCTACAAATCCTCTTTTATTCCTATTCAATTGGTTTTAAAATATGTAACTAAAAAGTGAATTTTTGCGTATTAACATTTAATAGCATATCACATTTATTATTTTACTGTAAAGACCTAAAAGTTTCTACATTCCATTAATTATAAATCAGAAATTTTTTTAGTCGCAGTAAGGAAAGTTTGAAATCAGGCGTATCTGTTAGTAGTTGTAAAAAGGGCACTTTGGGGGCATATGGGCAGGGGCTTGAACCCACCCAGCCAACCCCTGTGCACGTCACTGAGGTATTATTGACATTATGAACTCCAACAGCCGACTAAGGTTTCCATGAACAATGATGTCGGATTCGTCTGACAAGAAGACACAACCTATAAAATTTCAATGTAAGTGGCTAGATACGAAAGACATTCTTAATTAAACATCACTACTTGGTCATTCTTAACCAGCATTTTAAAATTCGCTTCTGGCTGTTATGTATTATAGTGGTACTATTTTCATTGGTACCGGGTGCCTTTTATGGCAAGAGGGATAACAAAATCCACGATAAACACTTTTACCACTGTTAATCGCATTAAAATGTGTCAGCCACAATATACAAAGTTCTGCACTAACTACTGAAAGTTGTAAAGACAAGAACAATTTCATCACCTGGAAAAACATAAGAAGGGAAGACATTGTATTCAAGAAACTTTCTCAATACAAATTAATTTTTTATTTGCCACAGTCTCATTTTTATATTAATACACTCAGCTCTGTTATAACCAAAAGAACTGTTTGAAAGAAATGTACGTCCATTTCTGACGCTCTCAACAATTTTTCGGTAATTAAGACAGTTATTCAGATGTTACCTATTGAATTCGCCCTATTAAATATTCATAAATGCAGGGCCCCGGCATGGCCAGGTGGTTAGGGCGCTCGACTCGCAATCTGAGAGTCGCGGGTTCGAATCCGGCCCACCAAACATGCTCGGCCTTTCAGCCGTGAGAGCATTATAATATGACGGTCAATCCTACTAATCGTTGGTAAAAGAGTAGCCCAAGAGTTGGCGGTGGGTGGTGATGACTAGCTGCCTTCCCTCTAGTCTTACACTGCTAAATTAGGGACGGCTAGCGCAGATAGCCCGAGTGTAGCTTTGCGTGAAATTCAAAACAAAGAATCATAAATGTTTGTAGCATTTATTAACAAATGTTATAGCTCTTCTCCAAATTTAATGAATCGCTGAACTTAACAATTTGGCAAAAAATAATGTATATTTTATTGATTCAGTAGATATATATTTAAATTAAGAATTGGGATATTTTAAAGTTTCTTTGCAAAAGAAAAAAGTTTTTTTAATCACCATGGACCTCAGACAAAAACGAGACTGTTTTAAATGATTGTATTAATTTTTTCCACAACAAAAATAGTTAGAAAATATAAAAAATCGTTACATTACATTAAATGTTGTTAATAATCTCAATTCTATACTAGGAGACCTATATAATAAACTATTTAAGAATCATTGTAAAGTCTGACTCCAACATAATATATATACTCATCTGTCAAACTGTTTGAAAATACTGGTTGGAGCAAAAGTAACAATACAGTTATTTCATTTAGAACAAAACTTGATTGATTTTAATTGTCTTCCGACCGTAGCAACCGCTTAGTACCATGCGTATAGTAACTTTGTTCCATTCTATATGATCGAGTTACACCTGCTCTTTCATTAAGTTAAAGGTTAGGGTTAACTGCTTTGGCTAAATTATCGACAAAGGGTAATTAATATCTGATGAAGATTATTTAGGGTAGCAACAGATGTTGAGATGAATCAGTTGTCGCTACCAAAGACTGCAGCTATCCATATAGAAACATCGCCAGATATCACAGTGACGCAATCCAAACCTTACCTATCGATTTCTTATATTGCTTAATTGATTGTAACCCTACCTGTATTGAGCAACAAAAAGATAAATGAATAAGGGTTCAAAGATGACAAGTAAAAGAAAAATATCTTCGTCATCAACTACAGGATCTTAACATTACTTTATGAAGCGATGCAAATTAAGCAATAACATCTGAGATTTTGTAACCTTACAGCTTCTACTTTGTTGCTTAGTTATAGAGGTATAAATTTAATACGATATTATTGAATAAAATGTTTAGATCAAGATATTACTTTAAAGATCAGAACTGGCTAACATATAAAAATGCTAATATAATCTATACACTTATATCGATTTTTATTCTGAATATCTTCTTCATAATAATTCACAAATATTTCACGTTTATATAACCATTTCTAAGAAAGTCGTTAATTCATTTACGCTAGGTAACAAATACACAAGTGTGTATGTGAGTGTGTCTGGAGCTGAACGACAACGCACTATAGTCTTGGCAAATCGAAAGAGAAAAAAAATCAATTAATCCAATATATCAAATGGTAAATTTTGAAAGAGGAAGTCGGTGAGCATACGGATAAAAAGCAAAATAAGGTAGAGGGCAATTAAAATTTTATTCAGGGAATGTAGGCAAGGCGTGACATAGCACGTTCTATGTAGGTCAACACGCATTCAAAAGACTGGATAATTCACCATTCAACTTAGAAGTAAATTAGGGCATGTAACAAGAACCTTGAACACTACTCTATAGTTTACCACGGCAACAGCAAAGGAAACCTCATTGCAGCGATTAGTAGTTCTCAGTCTGTTTGCTGCACCTAACATACAGGTATTTGTTTACTGGATTTTACAAAAAGGTTTTAAGGTTTGTCGTATCAAGTTTGATGTTATAACTTATAGTAAGTATGTATATGTTTTTTAATGCTGTTAATAGCTGTATTTAGTGCTTTGCGTGTTTGTCTTATAGCAAAGCCACATCCGGCTATCTGCCGTGTCTACCGAGGGGAATCGAACCCCTGATTTTAGCTTTGTAAATCCCTAGACTTACCGCTGTCCCAGCGGGGGATTTTAGTGCTTTGTTTGTTTGTTTTGTTTGTTTTTTAAGTTAAGCACAAAGCTACACAATGGGCTATCTGTGCTCTGCCCACCACGGGTATCGAAACCCGGATTCTAGCGTTGTAAGTCCGCAGACATACCGCTGTGCTACTGGGGGGCTTAGTGCTTTGTGTTCCTGTAATGACTTAAAGTATGTTTTACTTCTCTAAATTTATTTTTTTACACTTCTTGATTTAAGTTATCTTTTATCTGAGTTTTTTCTGTTAGCTTTATTCATTATGATTGTACCATTGTTTGAATAGCAGAAAAGTCGCAAGAAATAGTATTAAAATAGTTATTGAAGAAGGTTAATGATACATCTAAATAACAAGTCATCTTATTTGCGTTAGGTTTTGGGCGATATGACTTTCATTAGGCTTAAAAACAAACAGTTATATTTACATATATAGTTTATTGTTTCACTGTATAAGTGGAAGCATTGTTAACTGCACCATCTATTTGTTTAGGTCTAATATTTAAACCATTTAAGGTTAATTAACTGTATAACTTACAACACTGTCAACAGCACCATCTCTTTATTTAGATCTAACAATCAGACTATTTACTGTTAATCAACTGTGTAAGTGTCAATAGCAGCATTTACCTTATTTAGGCTATAGCAATTACAATTTTCCTACTATTTCTCTAATATTACTTCCTAACTCTTACAAACCCTAGTCACGTACACGTAGTCGGTATGTTACATAGCTAGTCAATGATCCCATAGCAAAAGAAGAAAAAAAGAATCCAATTTATTATTCTTTTTTGACGTTTAACTTTTGACCAGTGGCTGCTATGATGGTATGCACGCCACTGATCAACATTGTACATCAGATATAAAGGAGCGGACTTTAAAGGTCACAGGCCAAGATGCTAACAGTAACAGCGTCCTGAGCATTCCGGATCAGTTCACCCCTGGAGAACAATCTAGCATCGTTTACTGTATTGAGAAAGTCATTTCTACAGTGACTTAATGTACATTGGTTTCCATTCGATTGTTTATTCTTTTGTAACGTCAATAATAATAATAATAATGACTAAAAGTAGAAATATTTAAAGGATTAAACTCAGTGCATGTGAAGCTCCGATGATATATTTTCCAGTGAATTTTGTTTTGACGTAAAATGTTTCTTGAGACTAACATCTTACAAAATTTCTTACCGCTGAATCTTCCATCTCGTAAAATCTTAAACAGTAAGTGACTTCAGGAATATAAATTTATTCTATCAAATAACCAGAAAATTAAAACAAGCGAAAGTTTATGGTGGTTGTACTTTTAAAGGTTCTGTATATCCAATAAACCACGTAAAATTATTTTTACTGAAATAAAACAAAAATATTCAACGAAGTAATTTTCAGCCCTAGTAATAATTTGCTCAGAGAAACATTTCAGGAGGTCCGAGTATTATCAGTTCTTTTGTTGCATGAATTTTTAGTATTCATCATTATGCCACAATGATGTAGTGGACTTTAATTTCGGATCCAACATTGCTGCGAGTAACGAGCATCCAAACACAAAAAAAAACATTAAAAAATTTGTTCTAATGATGGCAGATGTGTGAAATTAAATGTATTAATGTTATAATCATGTTAATGGCATGCTCAGTGATTGCTAAATTTCGGCGTATGGCCTATTAACAATAACACAGGCCTATGATGTTCTACAGAAATTCCTGTACGCTGAATTTGAAAATGATACCCATTTTTCTCCATCACGTACAGATTTTTCACATAACATCATAACTCACATCATAAAAGAAAGACCACAACACGTAGTTTTGAGTCTAAAAGACGTAGATATTTTAAAAAATCAGGACGATTGAAGATGCAAATTCGTTTGACATCAATGTTCTTCCATTTTCTTCGGTTTGTTTGTATTTTTATTAACAAACATAATAATAAAAAAATGTTCATTGTGGTAAACGAAATAATAATTTGATCTAAGTAAGAGTTTTTTCTTCTTCCCGATTTGTAAAAAATCCTTACGTGATAGAAAAAAATAGTATTTTCGAAATCTGCGTAGATGAATTATGGTTAATCCGCTATTATTGTTTGTTTGTTTGTAACTAAGCAGAAAGCTGCACAATGGGCTATCTGTGCTCTGCCCACCACGGGTATCGAATCCAGGATTCTAGCGTTGTAAGTCCGCAGACATGCCAATGGGGGGCAATCCGTTATTAAAACCAAAACAACTTTTATGAAGTTTAAATTCGCCGGCCTGTGTAATCACTTGTAATCACCAGCAACAATTACGAATTTTAGGTACGACTCTATTTGAAGGCATAGATTTTCTGAACGATGCGTATTTAAAGATAAATGGACAGAACATTAATTTTTTTTTTTTTTCAGAAATGTTTGGAAGCATGTTGTAATGCTCTGGTAACATTAAAAGAACAAAACACGCTGAAAACACACCTAGCATTACATTTCATATTTTAAGTAGTTTTTGACTATTAAATTTTATTAAGCTTTTCATTAAAACTGATTTTCACACTATT